TAAAACTGTTATCTGCTCTATCATACTCATAAGACATAATAAAACTTTCTTAATCATTTAATAAATGTTTTAGACTAGCCTGACCATTGCAAGTCAGAGTGTAGTCTTCAACTTAGTTTTCGGCTAATCCCTCTCAAACACACCTGTTACCTGAATATACATACCTCAATAAAACACTTAAATTAATACAAATTTCTTAACCATGTATGAACATGTTTAAGACTAGCCTGACCATTGCAAGTCAGAGTGTAGTCTTCCACTACAGAGACAGATCATTTGATTGCAGAAACTAATCCCTCTCAGACACACTCTACAGGTATAATACTTTACAGACTTTCTTAATAATTAATAATGTATTTCATACTAGCCTAGCTAGTAGACTGTAGTAGTTGCCTAAACTGGGTACAGAATGTGACAGTGACCCTACTGGTGAGAAAGGTTTTGACAATATCTTTTCTATTTACTTGCACATTCAAAATAGGATTAAGGAAAATATAACTCATGCTGTGGTCCACCAACTAATAGTTTTAAAGATGGAATTTCTAGAAAAGGAATTATATTAAACACCATGTAGGCTTATGAAGCTCTGAAGTTGATTGAGATCTCAAAGGCATCAAATAGGAGGAAGAAAATAATAAATTGACATGAAAAGGATTTGCAGCTTACTGATTCACAAGCTGGAGAACCTTTTAATTGTGGATTGAGAGTGCACTGAGCCAATCATATCCTCTTCAGAGGAGGCCAATATACAAATACATATTGTGAAAGGCAAAACATTAAAGACAACTGGGTATTTAAGTACTAAAAGACACCACAAAAAGCTTTAAAAGAAAGTATTTGACTAGTAAGAAAATGGTTTGATTTACACCAAATGACAATAATTTATGCATAACTGATAGAAAGTCAACTAATTATAGCTGGATTAATGGCAATGCACACTAATTGCCAAAAAAAAATAAGTTGAAATCATGAAAGACAAAATATATTTTTTCCAATGGATTTTGTCAAATGTGAAACTGGTGAAATCTTTTATTACCTGCCTTCAAACATAAAATCTAAATTATTTTATCTGTAGTGAATTTAGTCAGTGCAAACCTGTTTTTAATGTCTATATTATTTTTGGCTTTTAAAAATATATTTACTTATCACCATTATTTTGCCCTTGCCTATTACAATACATCTTTACATTTTTGACAATTTTAGAAATGAAAACCTTAGATAGTCCTACATTTCAGAACCATTTTCAAAAAATTAAGGTTAAAAAAATCCAAACGAGAAATTCAAATTGGTCAATGTGTATATTTTTGTCCATGTTTTATTAAAGTCCGTTAAAATTCTTACATGATTTAATTAATTAATGGAAGAAAACCATGGGCCTAGCAGCTGTGTACATGGATCTAAGAAATACTACATTTTTTTATATGTTGTTACATAATAATAAATTACGTAGGACTGAAGGAAATCCCATCCAACAATACAATGTCATGTTTCAATGGGAAGATTTAATTTGGAATATATCAACAAAGGAAGTGCAATTTTAATTTTAAAATAATAAACTATAGGCTGTTTTATATCATCTGTGTAGGCAAATAAGGAAATGTAGGCACCAAAGATGACATGCCAAATGAGATCTCTATGCACAATGAGTTAAAACATATTGGCAACAGCCTAGCAATTTCATTTTTAATACAATGGACTTTAAGCTGATGTTCTTTTTAAACAGTGTATGAGAGAGACATATCAAATGAAGTCCACTTAGTCACCAACCATTTTTAACCAGTTCTGCATACAACTTAGGGAGGAAGTATGCACAATGAGTTAAAACATATTGGCAACAGCCGAGCAATTTCATTTTTAATACAATGGACTATAATCTGATGTTCTTTTTAAACAGTGTATGAGAGAGACATAATATCAAATGAAGTCCACTTAGTCACCAACCATTTTTAACCAGTTCTGCATACAACTTAGGGAGGAAGTATGCACAACCAGTTAAAACATATTGGCAACAGCCAGAGCAATTTCATTTTTAAGACAATGGACTATACGCTGATGTTCTTTTTAAACAGTGTATGAGAGAGACATAATATCAAATGAAGTCCACTTAGTCACCAGCCATTTTTAACCAGTTCTGCATACAACTTAGGGAGGAAGTATGCACAACGTGTTAAAACATATTGGCAAGAGCCGAGCAATTTCATTTTCAATATAATGGACTATAAGCTGATAATCTTTTTAAACAGTGTATGAGAGAGACATATTATCAAATGAAGTCCACTTAGTCACAGGCCATTTTTAACCAGTTCTGCAAGAAGTTAAAAACATTGACAGGGCAGAGCAATTTCAATATAAGGGACATTGTTAAATAAAATCCATTTGCAAAAACAGTAATTTTTAACGAGTTACATGTGCAACTTAGGAGGAAATTAAGGAAGCATGCAATGAAGGTTAAAATCATATTGGCAATGCACAACAATTAAAATATAATAGCCTACAGATTGTCTAAAAAGGAGGCTATAATAAAGAGAAATTTTCAGATGTCCATTGGACAGAAATAATTATTAACAAGTCCTGCATACAACTTAGGGAGGAAGTATGCACAACATGTTAAATAACTTAAGGCACAGCAACTTTAATATAGATCCAATGGCCTATAGTGTAGGCTTATAGGATGTTTTATTTTAACATTTGTCAATGGAGGCATATTCTATTATTAAAGAAGTTCAAAATGAGATCTGTTAAGACACCAGTAATTTTTAACCAGGTCTACATACAACTTGGGGCAGGAAGTATGCACAACTAGACTAGTTTAAATTAAAAACATTGGCAAGGCAGGGCAATATCATTAGTATAAAAGTATAGACTATAGTTAAAGTAGGATGATATTTCGAGTGGTCCCTTTGAATCCCGGTCAGAACGTCCCCGTGTGGCCTCAACCAACCGGTGGGCTTGTTGCAAATATTTAATATAAACTCAAAACAATAATATAAACAATCACCTTTCAGTCAGTCTAGACTGTTTTATTTTAATTTAAAAATCTAATTATTAGGCTAAAGAATACATATTATATATTATGGAGGAAGTGTGCACAATATTAACAATTAGGCCCTGATATGCCTAATGCCTAATACTACTAGACCTAATAGTAATAATAATAATAGTTAGGCCTATAAAAAATAAAGTAGTCTAAGATCACAGAGATTTTTTCTTTGTGATAACTAGATCTAACTCTAGTAGTAACTACTACAGTGGCGTAGCCAGGATCGTCTCAAGGGGGGGGTTCCAATTTTTACCCGGGGACAAACTTTCGATTTGCACCCCCCCCCCTCAAACTTTCGATTTGCACCCCCCCCCCTCAAACTTTCGATTTGCACCCCCCCTCAAACTTTCGATTTGCACCCCCCCCTCAAACTTTCGATTTGCACCCCCCCCCTCAAACTTTCGATTTGCACCCCCCCCCCTCAAACTTTCGATTTGCACCCCCCCCCCCTCAAACTTTCGATTTGCACCCCCCCCCCTCATACTTTTTATATATACCGAGGGGTCTATGGGGGGGGTTATGACCCCCCCTAACCCCCCCCTGCCTACGCCACTGAACTACTAAACTAGATTAACATTCTAGATCTAGAATCTAGATCTAGAATCTAGATCTAGAATCTAGATCTAGCTACTTGCTTGTTCATAGATCTCGAATCTAGATCTAGATCTAGATCTAGTCTTTTCCTGACTAGACTACAGTAGTACTAGAGTGAGTAACTAAGTAACTAGACTTAGAGTCTACTAAAGTCTACTTACTTACCGAATTTTTGCATTTCTCGTCAAGCTTGTGATATGAAATTCTGGGTCCCATGCAGTTTCATTATGACTTCAAGTTTGTGCCAACTAGATCTATGACTGAAGGGACACTGTGATACTCTAACGGTTTGATCTAGGCTTTAGCTGTCAAAAAAAGAAAACATTCACACAGCCGGCACCTACCCTGCTGAGTTATCTGTTTGTTTACATCACGTGACAGACTAAAACACATTGGCTAGCTTAGGCTAGGCCTAGGCCCCTATTAATTATGTTGATGTGTGATTGAGTAAATACTCACTACAGTGTTGGCGCCCGATTTAAAGTAGATTCTAAATCTAGATCTAGATTCTAGATCTAGACTCTAGATCTAGAATAGTTTTAGATATCTTCAACAGCTGCTTGGCTTCAGTTCAATATCAAGATGAAGGTATTTATTAAGCTTATACAACTTAGGCCCTATATTATATTATTAGGCTTAGGGCCTAATAGGAGAAATTATAATTCTATAGGCCTATCGGATATTATATAATATATAGATTTATCTAGATCTAGATCTACCTACTCACTTGTCATTTAGTATTATTAGAACAGTAGCGTGTGTTATTAACATTGTACTAACTTTTAACATTTAGGCCTTAGGCTCGTCTTATCGTACAAGAAGAGAGACCTCCCTGGTCTTTATACCTTCTTTAAGCCTACAATATTACAGTAGGGCCTAATCTATCCTGTAGTAGAATCTAGATCTATACTAAACTTAAATAAAATTGTTATCTAGATCTAGATATCTAGATCTAATAACTAATCCAAAAGTAGGCTTACAAGTTCCTTTGTTTTCTTTGTTGGTTTTTTAGTGTATTCCTGCATATGTTTCAGGCAAGATATTACAGTTCATCGATAGATAAGGATGTTTGTGAAAAGGAATGGGTATTTTAGGGCAAGCATTTTGTGCATCTACTGACTTTGTGACCCACTTATGTGAAAAACTCAAGGGCTTCGACAACTTTTTGAGATAACATTTTGTGGTTGACACATTGTTCAGTGGAGAAACTTAAAGCTTGGCACTAACTTGGTCACTTACTTAAGTGGAAAAGCTTAAAGACATGGACAACCTATCCGCAATTCTACTGAGTTGGTGGCTGACAGTTAGTGTAAACTTGGGTAGCATTTTATGGACATAGATTAAGTTTGGGGTGGGGTGGGGGGGGGGGGGGTGGCACTTCTGGCAAACATCATCAGCAAAGTCCAACAGCAGTTTCTTTTCCACACCTTTTGAGATGCCCATGATTTTTAGGTAGGCCTATGCAAACCTTTTAATATATTTTTTTCAAGCATTAATTTTTCAGTTGCTGTCTATATTTTAAAATTATTTGTAAAAGTTTAGTCTTAAAGCTAAAGTTATATTCTGATGTGTTTCATTTATTTATTTTTTAAATAGTATGTTTATAATTAACAACATGTATCCTTTTGTCTTGCACATCAACCAGAAGTAATTCATTAAGCCATCAAGACTCTCAAGTACACGAGTCCAACTGAGTCTTCAACGAAGTTCAACAGTAAATTTATTGAGAAACCCATATTTTTTCTTCAAAATGTAGGCCTTTTATTTCAAAATCAATTTTATTAGAACAGTAATCTTTTGTTATGACATTTCTACAGATTGTTGTTAATTTTTTTTTTTTACATTTCAATCCTCAGCAATGAGTGGTAACAAGTTCACGATAAAGACATTGTCAAACATCAGCCAGATCCTTCTGGTTAGGTTTTAGTTACCTTATGTATTTTTCTAATCATGTATGAGTTTTTTCCCCTGCAGACATAAAATTACATCCTAGCAGGTCACTGAAGTCCATCAGTAGATTGATTTATTTCCAAATTCCACGATGTGTATTAATTTTTAGGTATGTTAAAAGGTTTTTATTTTCTAAAATATGAGGGCAATTTTAAATTGTTTAATTTAAATCTTTTTTATTTTATTTTATTTTTTATTTTAAAACAAAAATGCACCAGATTTCACATTAGTAAAGGACATTTAAAAATAAAATATCAGCTGGATGTTGAGAATTGATGTAAAAATAGATTGTAAAACATTTGTTGCTTTAAATTACAGTCTACAAAAAACACATGTGTGAAATCTTCAAGAAAAGACATTTTCAACCCTCTTCTGGATGTTCAAGTTTTAAAAATTGTGTCCATAAACAGAATGTCAGCAATCATCCAGACGATTATGAAATAACATTCTTAACCTTCCTCAACCCAAGGGGCTCTTTAATCAAGGTATGTTTTATTACTTTCTTTTTGAGAACTAGCTCTGAGTTTTAGTTTTAAACTTGCTACCTTTAAAAAAGAAATTGAACATCTGTTATTTTAAATTTCAGTCTATAAAACACGTGTGTGAAATCTTCAAGAAAAGACAATTTCAAGATGAAGCCAGGATTTCAACCCTCTTCTGGATGTTCAAGTTTTAAAAAACTGTGAAAATAAACAGAATGTCAACAATGAAATAACACTCTTAACCTTCCTCAAGAGGCTCTTTAATCAAGGTATATTTTACTACTTTTTGTGTTTGAGAATTAGCTTTGAACTTTAATTTTAAACTAGCTAACTTTAAAAAAGATAATATTGAACATCTGTTACTTAAAATTACAGTCAACAACAGCACCTGTGTGAAATCTTCAAGAAAAGACATTTTCAAGCAGAAGCCAGGATCTCAACAAACTTCTGGATGTTCAAGATTAATATTTGGAAAATGTAATAGTATTTATTTATTTATTTTTGTAAAGGGAGGGAATTCAAGTAAAATTTAGTTATGTTTTAAAGGGGTAGGATCTGGTGGGTGATATACAATTAACTTATTACACCTTTTGTTTTTCTTTTGTTTCACTGTCATTGTTCTTTCTATTGGATGGATGGTGGGGATGCAGAGTATGGTTTTTGTGGGTCAGGGGAGGGTTATCCTGACGGAAGGTGGGTGTGGAAGAGGGGGCAGCTGGTAATGGTGGCACACCAGGGAGATGAACAGTTGGAGAGGTCTGCTCAATAGAGCAGGCCGCCTGCCAACCTCCGCTGCGAGTGTGTTGACATCTGTGGCCTGCTCGGCTGGCCCATTGTTGATTACCAGATAATGCCTGAACCCTAGCCTTGTCAGTCTGGATAATGTGTCATATGTTTGTGAATATTGCAGTTTCCTTGTCTATGTAAGCAGAGTGCCTGATTGTAAACAGGTCGTTTCATTAGTAATGTGCAAGCTGTTTCACTTATTTTTTTTCCTGTTACAATGCACAAATAGAAACATAGGCTCTTTTAGGAAAGGGAAAGGAACCAGGGGCTTGTTGTGGTGTTAATGTTGCTAACATCATCAAAGTATTTAGTTAACTAAATGTAAAACTTTTAACAAGTAATATTCTTGACTTGCAGACATGATGTAATATTTAAATCCGGTGAGAACTGGACATAAACTAAAGAAAAAACCTTTGTCCTTTAAGGCCTTTTTCAATATAAAGAGTAGTTTATTCTCTTTGGCAATGTGGTAGCGATTGTTCCATTTACACTGTATTTGTTAGTAAAAGAATAGGGACCAGTGGCTCTCTAGCTTGTTTTAATAGAAAGAAAAATAGTCAACCTGTAAAATTTATAAGAAATCATAATTTTTAAGAAAAGAAATATATAAATATAATAGTAATGGTACTAAATAGTATAGACTGTCCACAACCTGACTTTTGATATTTCTGGCATTAGGGGAGGAATGCTAGAAACGTCTAAAGTTAAGTTTAATCAGCTGTTTTCATGGCCTTTAGTTGTGAAGGCATTTAGGGATGCTGAAGACAACTATATTTTTCAGGCAGCACTGACACTAAACAGTCTATATTATCAAACCAGTTTTCAGAAAAATGAAAATTCCTTAAAATATAAAAAAAAACCCTCTACAATTATTTATAACAGAGTTATTACCTGATTCAAGGTGTATCTACATTAGGGCATGAATGTTAGATACATCTAAAATTGAGTTTAATCTCTGTCAGCCGTTTTCATTATTCAGGCCACACTTGCACAGAATTTAGAAAAAAGAAAATTCCTTAAAATATAAAAAAAAACCTCTACAATTATTTATAACTGAGTTATTACCTGATTCAAGGTGTATCTACATTAGGGCATGAATGTTAGATACATCTAAAATTAAGTTTAATCTCTGTCAGCCGTTTTCATTATTCAGGCCACACTTGCACAGAATTTCTATATTTAAAAAAAAGGAAATTCCTAAAGATGTACAGTATGACTTATAATTATCAATAGGTTATAGTGAATGTATTTTCTACCATTTCTCAGAAATGACAATCTGAGACAGCCCCATATGATTTAGGAAAATATACATTTATTTTTTTTCCAAGTCAAGAATTGTTTCTAACAAGCTGGGCTAAAAAAATAGTGTTTTATAATTTCCTATTTTCTTGTTAAGATATTTTAGTGTTCTTAATTTGTCAAGCAGCTATAACTAAAAAGTTTATGGGGCACCTTTAGTAGAAGCAAATGCTGATTAGTCTCTGAACTAATGAAGCGACCTTTCATAATTATGCACTTTCATCAAAGATTTAGGAAAGATAATGCAATATTCACAACTTTATGTGATGCATTATCGACACTGACCTGTGCTAGGAATTAGGGCTAACGTCTGGTATGATACAATGGGTACAGCCGACAGGTCCACAGCTCTGTCAACACCAAGTCAGCGGAGGGGCAGGTTCCAACACATCTACTGGTAAAGCCTATACCATATAGAAACCAGCATGCCCATGTCGGGATTGGTGGGGGTGTTAAGGGTGGGATTGGGGAGGTGAGAGAGTTGTGTATATATGTAGTCCTCTCTTTATGTTATGTGTAATAAGTTAATTGTTTTTACTGGTCGTAAATAATTAGGTAGTTTTACTTGAAATCCTTCCCTATTTTTTATGCTATATTTTGTTTGAGGAGTCATTTTGCAAATTTGTCTATGCAATTTTAGAGAAAGGAATGTTTCATATTAAAAACAATTTTTTTAAATATGATCTCTAAAAGCAGTTCATGTATTTCATATAATTTGTTTTCTACTGTAAGAGAGAAAGTGTAAGTTGAATTTATCATCAAAAGATTGATATGAATGTAGTTTTATTTGAACTCACTGTAATGTGTTAGGAGTGCCAGGGATGCAATGTTTATTTGAATTATTGTAATGTTAGAGAATGGCAGGAATGAAAGTTACATCTATGCTATTGTAATACTAGGAGTGTCAGGATTTCATTTTTGATTCAAGTTATTGTAATGTAAGAGAATGACATGAATGATATTTAATTTATTGTAAACTAAATTATATATATATTTTTTTTTTCATGAAATTACACTAAATTCATATTGAAATGACGATGATATTTAATAGTTTTTTGTACTAGATTATATTTTCATATGGATTGAATTGTTTTAAATATGAAGCATTCCTTACAGGCCAATGATGCAACATGTCAACATTACTTTTAATGATAAGCAACATGATAAGCAAAGAATATTCTTACATCATTACTGACAACAACTGAGGCCAGTTAGTTAAAAATGTATTTATAATTGAAGATAGTCCTAAATCATCTCAGACTTGACTGCCAGTCTTTATTTTGTATTTATAGCATGCTTCTTAAAACATTAAACATTGCTGAAAGTGCTCATTGTTTGCGTTCTTATATGTGTATGTGTGCCTAGCATAGGTTCAAAGGCATGGTATGTAAAGTTACGGTTTTACAGCCTTTCTTACAGTGTCACAACATCATTGTTATCTGGCAATCATAAATTGTACTGGTAATTTGTTACCATGTATCAACTCTAAGATACATTATAAATGTTAGGTTCTCCACCAACTCTGGCCCTGATTAGAACCACTTCTACTTATATGGGCATGATATCACAGTAAATTATGCAAGCCATTTGATTACTTTAAATCGTTTTATTTCTTTTGCAGAAGAGATATAATTCAATACATAAAGGGAGCAATCATTACAGTGGCAATACTAATTTCAGAGAATATTATATTAATTATAGTTTCTTTTCATAAGGGAAACAACTCAGTTAATAGTTTTAGAATATAAAAGACGTGAGTGTATGACTCCTCTGAAACGAAATACAACAAACAAAAATTACACTCTAAGGCCTTTAAACTCTTAAACTTACACCATTACAAATTTACTCAATTACACATTCACTTACACAATACCTACTTTCACACCTACAAACTTACATACGTACGCACTGACACACGCACAAATAAATTAACACTAGTACACACTGACACACTCACTATTTTCATACTCGTGCTTAAACTTATACACTATTACACGTATACACACTCAAGAAATTACATACTTACACACTCACACATTGACATAATAATCACACACTTATACACTTAAAAACTTACACACCTACACCTTTACTTTATTATACATTTTTACACTTAAACATTTACACACTTACACAACATACTTACATTTACACACTTACTAACTAAAATACTTATACACTTACACATTCACAGAATTATACACTTTCACATTTTCACACTTACGCTTTTACACACACACGTACACACTTACGCATACACACTTACATAATTACAAATTTACACCATTACTCAATTACTTACGTACACACTTATACACGTTCACAGTTACACATGTATACATGTACACACTCACACACCCACACACGTACAGAATTACCCACTCACACACTATACACACTCACGAAGTTACACAATTACCAATATAGACACTTACAAACTAACACACTTACTTACTTACACATATTTTCACACTTATACAAGTACACATTTATACACTTAGACGTTTACACACTTTCTTATACACGTTCACACTTTTACACACCATGCTTACACATTTACACACTTACTAAAATACTTATACACTTACTAACTAAAATACGTACACACTTATGCATTTACACATTCACACAATTATACACTCCCACACTTACACTTTTACACATTTACACACTCATTGATTTTAAATGTGGATTTGAATATGGCTGTGTATGATTGTTAAATTTTAATACTTACATGTATCATTTTGCTCTAAAAAAATGTATCTCAATTATAGAATAACAGTATAACATTAATAATGAAGTCTCAAACTTGTTATAAAAATATTTACCTTATTTAATGAGATTGTTAGAATAGATTTTTAGCTACAACTCAATTATTTTTGTTGAACAACATACATATCAACTGCATATTGAGGCATAATGTTGATGTCCCAGATAATAACTTATGATAGTAAATTTTGATGTAGTTGTGTGAAGCGAATTAGCTGAGGCTACTAGATATTGGCTTGTAGGGCTAGTATTTCTTACTGGTGTAGGTTCGAATCCTTAGTGGGAAGAGGTACAGATGATAATAGGTTAAAGATATCTAATTGTGGATACCAGTTCAGTGGTGATAATGTTGATAGGGGTTAAATTTAATGACTATATATGGGGCCAGCATAGCAGTTCAATGCAGTGGTAGGGAGTTCGCAATAGTGCAGTGGTGGTGGGTGTGTTGCAGCAGTGCAGTAGGGGGGGGGGGGGGGGTGCAGCAGTGGTCTTGGGGGGGCGTGTAGTGGTGGTGGCTGGGGGTCGCAGTAGTGCAGTAGGGGGGGGTGCAGCAGTGCAGTGGGGGGGGGGGGGAGGTCGCAGCAATGCAGTGGTGGTGGCTGGGGGTTGCAGCAGTTCAGTGCACGTGTGGGGAGGGGCGTGCAGCAGTGGTCGTGGGGGGGGGGGTCGCAGCAGTCAGTGGTAGGTGTCGCAGCAGTGCAGTGGTCGTGGTGGGGGGGGGGGGGTCGCACCATTGCAGTGGTCGTGGGGGGTCGCACCATTGCAGTGGTCGTGGGGGGTCGCACCATTGCAGTGGTCGTGGGGGGTGGGGTGCAGTGGTGGTCGTGTGGGGGGGGGGGGTCGCAGCAATGGATCGTGGGGGGTGCAGCAGTGCAGTGGTCTTGGTGGTGGGGGGGGGGGGTGCACCATTGCAGTGGTCGTGGGGGTGGGGTGCAGTGGTGGTCGTGTGGGGGGGGTCGCAGCAATGGGTCGTGGGGGGTGCAGCAGTGCAGTGGTCTTGGTGGTGGGGGGGTGCACCATTGCAGTGGTCGTGGGGGGTGGGGTGCAGTGGTAGTCGTGTGTGGGGGGGGGTCGCAGCAATGGGTCGTGGGGGGTGCAGCAGTGCAGTGGTGTGGGGGTGGGGGTGCAGCAGTGCAGTGGTGTGGGGGTGCAGTGGTCGTATTTATTTTATTTTATTATAAGAATTGTTCGTCCAACATTATAAACGCCATTTAAAGTCTTCCTTTGAAGTTGACAATGTTTAGCCAAGCTATCATTTAGACTGCAAACACATTCGCTCCCACGTAGCTACGAAATTACATTTTTGATTGTCAAGTATGGGGCGAGACGTCTCCTATAGCTTGCTAGACAGTGAGCAGTCTGTTCAGCATCTTTAATCTAGAGTGCATCTATTTATGTAAACAAGTATGGCTGTAAATACAAATGTACAAAGAAGGAAAAAGGGGTTATATCATAAGTGTGTGTCCAAGTGTCTCATCCCTAATTTAAAGTGTTGGCTCATTTAGATATATTATTTTATTTGTTATTTTTCCTATGCTGCTGTGTTTAGACGATTAACCAATTTAAAAAAAAACAGTTGTTGGGTGAACGTATATATTTTTAATTTCTAAAAATGAAACTGATATAGGCCTTTTGTTCTAAAATATAGGGGTTTCATTAATACAAGACATTATTATATTGTTCAAGGTGACAAATGAACGGGTTCCAAGCATAGAGTTTGTCCATAAATGACGTCACACTCGTAGTGGGGAAGGGGGGGGCGTAACTTTGTGACGCTGTGTGATGACGGGGAAGGGGGAAAGGGGGTCAGATGGTGTGACATCACACTTTTGCATTATAAAAAAAGCAACGTTAGAAAACGAATTTTACCCTTTCTTTCACTTTTTAGGAAACAGTTTTAATAAATTGTAATAGACATTGATTAAAATAAATAAGATTTTTGAGGAATATCTTAATTTAACTGCATTTTTTTAAGTGGGTTGTAGGCTGAGGCGTGACGTCATTTTAGTGGGGGGGGGTGTATGGCGGAGGTGAGGGGGGAGGTAAAAATCGTAAAAAACGCGTAACCTCGTTTATGGGTGACCCAATACCATGACTAGACAATAAGGGAATCATTTTCAAAGATGTTTTGTCGATAGAATGCAGCGAAGAAAATCAAAAGTGATCTTTCAATGTTTTTATATCGTTTGGAGATGCAGTGTGGTATTCTAGTTGAGTTGGATTTTGAAGACTATTTTAAAAACAACTTTTAATTGTGGTTACATCGTGTAAACTAATGTTTATTCCGTTCGTTTTGATTTTTTAAAAACTCAACTTTTTAAAGATTCAAACCCGCTTAGAATCTGGGGGAACATCCATCTGGGTGGGCGGTGGACAGTAATTACCAACTGGGCGAGCAGTGGAGTAGAGACAAATTAACTGTATCATACCTACAAATGTGTAATTCTGTTCCGTTTGTTAGCTACAATCCGACTGCTAACTACAGTTACCTTCAGTACATATGAAAAAAACAAACAATTATGAAACTTTACCACCACGCAGAAAGAAGAAATAACTTTGGGCAAGTCTTGATAAAAACTGTTATCTGCAGGAATTCGATAAAGTCCCCATCCCCAGCCTGTTATTTTAATAAAGTATGTTGGTGAGTCATCTCTCGACGAATCGAATGTGGTAATGTATTAATAACTTTACTTGAAAATGGGTTCTACCGTTTGAAATTAGTTTGTTTTTCAGTGCCAGCAAATTAGTAATAAATGTGACCGCATTATCGCGCCCCCGCGAACTTGGTGAGGACGAGAAGCACTTAAATTTAGCCTAGTTCAGTTTCTAAGTTCAACAAGGAACAGGAACAGAGTTTCTTCCAGGCATCTCTTCGTGTGTGGCAAACCTCCCCCCCCCCCGAAAAAATCCCCCCCCCCCCCCTCGAATGAAATGAAATTTATATAATTTAAATAGAAAATATATATTTTTAACAGTGTCCGCCCCCCCCCCCCCCCGAATATACACTTTTTGTTTTCCTAACACTTTTTTTTTTTCATACGCGTATTTTGTACACATTATTTCCTGTCACTTACTTGTATAGACTCTATTCATTTTGTTTTTCATCCATGATTTTCTTATACACAGTGTTTTCCATCTATGCACATCACACTCTTTCACTAATTACAACCTCCCACGTCCCAGTTATATAATATTGTTGCCTCTCGATTGGCCAAAACACGTGAAAATATAAAAATAAATAATCACACACACTCACACGTGCGCGCTACACGAGGTAATCATGGGGAGAGGCCGCTACCCAATTAATTTCCAGGATAGTGCGCTTTTTTTTTGGAAGTTAATTCAAATCAAAAATATTTAAAAGTTTCTACGGTTGAAAAACAACTCAAAGAAACAACTTTATTTCTATAGATAGTTTTATATCATGTAAATATCGGTTGTCAACTACTGGGTAGTTTGAAAACTCAACTGGATTTGAGATAGAATCTCAGCCTTTTAAAGTCCCAATAACGGTATGTCATGTATTTAAATTTTGGAGAGCGGTCGCTATCTTTGCACCCCCTCTGGATACTCACTCTGACCTTCGCATTATTGGACTACATGCGCGATGTCTTAAATATTTTCATAGTGCTCTCACGGAATCCTAACCCTGACCAGTTTAAACCAGTTTTGTCATTACAAAATCACGCAGGTAAACATATTTACCGACTAGCCTAGTTTATCACTCGCATATTAGGTGGTACAAGTTTAACTGGGTGAGAAGGCATAGATTTTAAAAACTAATCTTCTTTCTAAATATAAATCCTTGGAGCCAGAGATAAGCAGGCTGCACGCAGCGGGGTGAGTCAGAGAAACTAGGGTAACGGTTCCTGAATTGTTAGTCAAGACCTCCCGCGGGGTACTGAAAAATTCTTTATTTCTCTGTCATGAATGAACACATCATTGCAGCCATCGGGCACGGCAACAGAGAACAGCACTTTGAACTCCCATTCTACTATAAAAACTGTTTAATAAAGCAGAGATGAGCGCATAGAAATGTGAGACTCCTTGCTCGTGAGCTACCCCGCACTCTTACCCGGTATGTGCAGGTCTAATTTTAGCGTGTTTTCCGGGCTCCTCGGGTTAATAGTGAGTCGGTTGCAAGGAATCCCCTATAAACAAAATAATTAGAAGCAGAATCGGTTCCTTTTCTTTACGCGTGGGAGAATACCAAAAATGTGAACGAAACATTTAAGGTATTAGCCGTTTACTTTAGTATTACTACATACTTTATCAAAAATTCAATTGCTTGCTGCATTCACATTTACAACAAATGGACTGAAATGTAGCATTACATGCACATTAACTATAAAAGTATTCTATTCCAAAAATGACGACATGACCACGTCAGTAGTATCACCACGGATATAACACCTCCCGCTAATCGATAAACAAAAAACGGTAATGGATGCAGAGAAGTCAGGTCCCAAATCAAAGAAATTTACAAAAGCTGTTATCTTGTTTAGTCTCTAATACTAATAGTGATGGTTTTTGTTTTAAATAGATGTGACCACATTCCCGATATTTATCATCTCTTCTTAATTTATATTAAATTTAATTTTAATACTGGTCATAACATCGCATCAATATGCAGACACGTCTTGGGATGTGACTGTTATCTTTTTAGATTTCCAACGGATTAATGTTTTAACTTAAGAAGATGTATCGCAATCTAAAAAACAAAACACATCAGCAACACCCAAAAAACATCGCGTCATTATCACTTCAACTTTAAGGTCGAAATTTCAAACTCAGTGGAGAGGATGACGTCATGAAACGCTTATGAATGATCACATATGAATGTAATAGTAAAACCGTGCGTAGCCGGCGTGGGAATGTGGACGAATTTAGCTCACCACTAAGAGCCAATCCCCGAGGAAAGTTTACGACAGTAGGCGGTACCAGTGGGTATATATACAAGATCTTGCTTCGTTTTTCATTCATCTGAAAACCTAAGCAGAGTTTGATGTGCTAAGCAAGAGAAACTAGATCCACTGCAGAACTGAAGATCAAAAGATTTGTTGGCGAAAAGTATTCTATTTCATCAAGCGCAATGGCAAGACTTGATTCAACCATAGCAGCTGTTTTCTTGATTATTGTGGCCGTATTAATGGTAAGCACAATTTGGTGTTTATTGATTGATGATATGAACGATGTATTTGCTTATCATGTATTTCAACAGTTAGAACAATTTATTATAGCATTTCAATTCTCCCCCCCCCCCCTCCCTCCCGCTCGCCACAGTGACGAAAACAATGCAATATGATCTAGACATATTTAAAAAAAAAAAAACATGGTTAAAGAAAACTATATATTTGTCTGCTCTACAGGGACTCGATGCCCGGCCCGCTGATGACATCCTGCGATGTAAAGAACCTGCTGATATCGTATTCCTTGTCGACTCGTCCACGTCAATCGAAACAGAAGATTTTAATGGCCCAATGAAAACCTTTCTTAAAGACATCATTTCGACCTTCGATGTTGGACAAGGCCCAGAGCAGACGAGAATTGGAATGGTCATGTTCAGCACTAACGAGCACCTGGAGTTCCACCTGAACAAATACAAGGTAGGTCAACTTTCACACACATTTAGTATTTCTTGCACCAATAATATTTTACACCAGGCACTGTGTGATTATCATACTCCTACAAAGAAAATGTTTTAAAGCAAGCAACAAAACAAAAAAAAAGTTAAATTCATCATTTTGAAACAAAGCCAACAATGTTAAACGTTTAGTTCAAAACTAGCATTGACTCACATGTTCTTCACACTTATCTAAGAACAAAATAGTCGTAATTAATTAGCCATAACTTGAGTACATATTTTTTCCAGAGCACTGCGGATGTTCTGGAGGCGGTTGACAAAATTCCGCGCCGCTGGGGCGACACTTATACACACAAAGCTTTAGAATTCGCCTCTAACGTCATGTTAACGGCCGAACATGGGGCTAGAGATGGTGTTGTCAAGCTTATTGTGGTTCTAACGGACGGCAGATCATCTTTACTATCCAAGACAAAGAAAGCATCCAAAGCCATTCATGATAAAGGTGTGTATAAATCGTATTTGTCGATGACTATGGTAGTCAGCAACAAATACAATATAACAATCTGTAGGCCCTAGGTTAGGGTCATTAATATTTTTAACAAAACTAAAATATTACAGACGTTCTTGAAACATGAAAAGTTACAATTCTACTTGTTCGTCTGCAGGTCTTGATGTCATCGCTATTGGTGTGGGTAACCAGGTATCATACGACGAGTTGTACATAATTGGCTCTAAGCCCCACGAGAAGCACGTCTTTGTTGTTAATGACTACAAAGCTTTAGACACGATCAAGCAAAGGTTCCAGCAATCCGCTTGTGAATGTAAGCATCGCTTTACTTACATCTACGTGTTATTAATCATATATTAATAAACTTTTATTTGTATACATATGAAAAGGTATTTAATATATTTTAAAGGCATCTACAGTTAATTTAAATATATTTCTGTTTCCTTACTATAGCCATACAGACAACGATGCCTCCCACAGAAAGCACAACGACAATGAAAACAAGGCCTACGACGACTACCACAACAACCACCACAACAACACCCACGACAACCACTACCACGCCTACAACAACCACTACCACACCCACGACAACCACTACCACGCCTACAACAACCACTACCACACCTACGACAACCACTACCACCCCAACGACAACCACTACCACACCTACGACAACCACGACAACGCCAACTACCACCACAACGACGCCAACGACAACCACGACATCTACAACAACCACTACCACGCCGACAACTACCACAACTACTCCTAAAACAACCACAAGAACTTCAACTACAACTACACCCACAACAACCACAAGAAAACAAACTATCACGTCAGAAGAGCTACCACAGGGAGACATTTTCCAAGAAGGTAAATATTTAAAATCTATCAATATCAACAGCAAAAACACACACCTAGGATATAAATTTAAATTCAACAGATCAACTTTCTACAGAAATGTTTAAATATTATTTATTATTTTCTTATAGAATGCCGTGGCAAACCAGCTGATATTTATTTCCTGCTTGACGCTTCCTCATCTGTCTGGATCTACCATTTCCACACACTTGTCCTGCCATTTGTTCGCGATCTCGTATCGTCCTTCCATATTTCGCCTATGCATACGAGAGTTGGACTTGTTACATTTTCCAATGATGTGAGCAATAGCATTTGTTTTACTGATGTTAACAAAAATATTTGTAGAACTAAAGTATTATACGATTTTATACCACTCCTGGTTTCTTTTTTTTTTTTTAAATATAAATGATTCAAATAGTTAATCATATGTTTTAATAATGAAACCTAAAACAAATCCTTGCTTCTATTACAGATCAATCACGAATTTAACCTTTCGGCACACAGCAATTTACAGTCACTTCTGGACGCCATTCAACCGGAACACGTAGATTACCTGACCGGGGGCACTTACACCGGGGACGCCATCGAATATGTTGTCCACAGGGGTTTCGGCGTCGACGATGCCAGGCAAGGAGTGGCTCAGATCATCATCACTATCACCGACGGCTTGTCTCACATTCCCACCCAGACCGCCAAGGCCGCAGAAGATGCCAGAAATAAGGGTGTCTACATGTTCGCCGTGGGAGTCGGGGATGACGTGGATGAGGATGAGCTGAAGGCCATCTCCAGTAACCCGGATGAAGATTTCGTCTTCAGGGTGCATGACTTTAAAGCCCTCTCGTCCATTACAGACCTTCTGGCTGTCAAAGCTTGCAAGGCTGTGTCTAACGATCAGCCCCCACAGTTAACAGGCAAGTTCTCTTTGTTTCATTCATTCTTTTTAAATTATTCTTCAATATTTACACGAAATAAAAGAACCTTTTTAGAATTTTTTTTAAACGTGTACTCTACATTTATACTAAACAAATAGTCACTGTTTAATTAAAAGTAATTCTGAACCACCAACAGCCTCAGGTGTTCCAAATTCAGGAGCTTCAAAGTATTTTCTTATGGCTATAGCCAAATAAAAAGTGCCTTATCGTCATAATGGGCCTTAAGGGTCCTGCGTATGTTTTACATCCTTGATAATGTAATTATGGCACGATGTATAATAGATAAGTTTTTTATCTTTTCAGAGTGCTCCACCAAAGGTGCCAACATTATGTTCCTGTACGAGTACTTCAACTCCGTGTCCTATTCCAAGATTGTAGTCGAAGACATTATTACCAGGATCTCCCTGGATGCCGCTGCCCTCATCCCATCCGTTAAAATCGGAACGCTGACCCAACCTTGTATAGGAGGCGGGTCACCTCTTCTAGCCAGCAGCCGTTTCCAACAAGCTTTAGCGGAAATCCACGGCAGCTACTCTGTCGGTTACACTAGCCTTCTCAGCCGGGTTAGGACGGAAATATTCCAGAACGTTCCTGCTGACCAGAACCGAGTGGCAGTGCTGGTGTTGGACGAGATGACCAAGAACTTAGATCTCATTGAGGTCGAAGTCGAGAAGTTAAAGAGAATGAACGTCAAAGTTGTGGTCGTATCCGTTGGAAAAGTGAAAGAGCTCCATTTAGAAAAAATCGCCTCTGCCCCGAGTAAAGAAAATATCCTCCGCGCAGACAGCTACAGTGACCTCAAGAAACTCAAGATCGATGTTATCGGACTGGTGTGTGGGTCAGACGTTTCACACAGCCTCTATGGGTTCAACACCGACACCAGTAACACCAATGTAAATGTCCACGGCACCGTCATTTCCTCTGATGTCGCGTCCCCGGTTGCACCGGCCACGAGCTTCAAACATGAGGTCTCTGTTAGTGTTGTGAATATGAATGGTGAACGGAAAGAAGTTGAGGCAACGACACAAGAGTGGTTTGACTTCGGTGTCTATCCTAACTGAGAAATAGTGATTTAATATATATTTTAAATATTTTTATATTCCATAATTATATATTGTTAAACATTTCCATTTTATATTTTTATGTATATTATATTTCTATTGAAATATATGTGTAAGATATAGATTTGACAAATGTTCGAATTGTTATATGTAAAATCAACATTTCTTCCACACTTTGAATTCATCAAAACGCTGAAATGTCACATGTGAAGTAACTGTTGGGGTGTAAACCCCTATTGTGGTAACTAGTGAGATAGGTATGCCTGAGAGAAAATGATGGATGTGTCCAAATTAAGCCAAAATCATGAGGTTGTGTCAGAAAATATTTTTCATCGAATTTTATTCCATTTCTATATTGGTTTGATATTTATATAAAAAAATATTGTTTTTATTCTTCTCCAATAAAATCAGAAAAGAAAATGTCACTGTTGTCTATTTTATACTTTCCCCTGTCTTTAAAATTTTTGGTAATTGTTTTTCGTTTCATATAAATATAAATAATTGTTATTCTTTCAGTAATATTTTCTCATTGAGGTGAAATAGAATCTTCCATATAATGGTATATTTAGAAAACAATTTTTTAAAACAAATACCAAGCTTTGGCGATGATATGATAAGCATACGATATGATGGAATTTATATAATAAACATATACTTTTACTAGTGTCCCCCCCCCCCCCCAAAAAAAAATATCAAGTGCCCCCCCCCCCCCAGGAGAAAAATGTCTGGAAGAAACACTGGTCTGGAAGAAACACTAGTAGCGCACTTAACCCATAGCAGATTACAGATTTTTGGATTATATTGATAGTGTAGGCACCCCCCCCCCCCACCCCACAGTCCACTATCCAATTAAAACAGAGACATTTTTTAGTTTTATTACAAATACTGCTACTGGAAAAAGTCAATTATTTTAAAGTGGAGTACCGGCTTTAGTCTATATTATGTAGCAATTTTACAGATTGAAAGGCCAATTTATTATAACCAGTTAGTTACTTTTGAAGGTGTCTGTAAAAAGCTAATGATGAACAAGTAAAAATGTCATACTACTAAAGGTGGATATTATATCTACTTAACATACTCTTTTACATACTCTTGTGGAGGGTGTACAGGACAAACCATTATTTAAAGAGGTAGGGGGTGACAGAACAGATCAAGCTATTGTTTAAGTAGGGATTACAGGATTTAATTTTGAGTGTTTTAGAAACAACTCACATATTCGAAACTATATCTCACTACCCCTATATATACTACTTCTGAATGACGTAGGCCTAACTGATGTTACGTAATCTGTGTACTTATTACGTCATTCGCGGGATCTGAACAGTGAACAGTTTTCATGAACGGGACAGAGTGAGAGGGAGGGGAGGGGAATGATTTTGTTGTTGGCACAACTTATCAATAAATATGGAATTTTCTGAAAAGGGGTGTTAGCAGAGGCGTAGCGAGGGGGGTGAGGGGGGCGGAGGGGGCGGACCGCACCGGGTGACACCATTTAGGGGGGTGACACCAAGGCAAAAAATAGCAAAATATATAAAGAAAAACTTGAGGGGGGTGCAAATCGAAAGTTTGAGGGGGTGAAAATCGAAAATTTGAGGGGGGGGGGGGGTGCAAATCGAAAGTTTGAACGTTTGTCCCCGGGAAGGGTCGCTACGCCTCTGGGTTGGGTGACACCATTAAGTGCCGCACCGGGTGACACCTGACCTCGCTACGCCACTGGGTGTTAGGCTACGGAAAGTAGTAGGCCTAAACTTTTAGGTTGTTTATTAAAACATCCATCGGTAATTGAAAGCCAACCATTACATATTATTAATCAAACCCGAATCCAGGTTATAACAAAGCCCTAAGGGGTCGTCCATAAATGACGTCACACTCGAAGCGTGGAGAAGGGCCGTAATTTTTTGACGGTGTGTGATGAGGGGGGGGGGGAGTGTTCGGATGGTGTGACGTGACAGTGACGTCACACTTTTGCATTATAAAAAAGCTATGTTGGAAAACATGTTTTAGCCGTTATTTCGTGTTTTATAAAACTGCTTTAATACATTTTTATCGGGGTTTGTAGGGCTGAGGTGTGACGTCATTTTAGAGGGGGGGGTCTAGCTTTTTGTGACGATGTGTGACGGAGGGGATGAGGTAAAAATCGTCCAAAAAAGCGTGACGTCATTAAGGATGACCCATAATTTTTGCCCAAATTACTGCAGGTGATAATTCTATGATTCTTTCATTATAACACACCTCTTATAGGAAGAGTGTTG